CCACTGAGACTATGGCCCCTAGCTGCCCTTCAGGTCTGGAATTGAACCCACACCTGTGGCTTCCAGCCAAACAAAAGACAGGCATGTGAGCTGAACATTTACCTGAGGTAGATACACTCCTTGGAGAGAACAATCATAGGAGAAAGAAGGGCTGCTTATGCACAGGGAGACAGCTTAGGGAGCAGGAGTGCATGGAGGGATGGATACAGGGAAGAGGTATGTATTGGGAGGAAGTGGGAGGGGAGCTGTTGCATTGTGGTAAATTGCAGTCAATGTCATGAGACAAAGTGTATGTGAACTGCCATATGGAAAGTGAATTTGCTCTGTAAACTTTCACCCAAATCACAATTAAAAATAAATTGGCCCCAAATTTGTAAATGGATAATGGTGATGATTGCACAGCACAGTGGATGTAATTGTTATCATTGAATGTGCTATTTAAAATTTGTTAAAATGGAAAAATTTTGGTTATACAGGTAATCACTGACTTAGGACATATTCAAGGTATGATGAACCACACTTATAACTAGCCATTTTTTTTTTTATGATTTGTGTATTTGTATGTACGTATGTACTAAAATATATCTATAAATTTACATGTAATGTTTCCAGCCCCCAAAGAAAAATAAAGATTAGATTTATAAAGATATTGATTAAAAAAAAAAAGGCAGGCATAATGAAAACTAAAAAAAAAATGAGGTATTCAACTTAGGTCCAAACCAACTTACAATGGAGTTACTGGAATAGAACCCTGTCATAAGTCAGAAACTACCTGTATATATTTTACCACAATAAAATAAAACAGCAGACCCACCATCTTCATAAAGCACACACACACACAAAAAAGGCTTATGAGCAGCCATCTAAGGTGCAACTATTGATGTCTCCCTGTCCAGAGCAAAGAAGAGTGAAGAAAATCAAAGATGCATGGAAATAATTAATCCAATTGACTAATGGACCATGTGACCTCCAGTCTCCACGACTGTGAGACTAGACGGTGCTCGGCTACTACTGCCAACCATTCTGAAAGGGATCACAATAGGAACTCCTGGATCTAGTGGGAGAAAAATGTGGAACAAAAATCAAAATAGTAAAAAAGACCAGGCTTACTGGTCTGATAGAGACTGGTGGAACCTCCAAGACTATGACCCTTAGACTTCCTTCAAGCCTGGAACTGAACTCAACACCTGTGGTTCAACTTTCATTCAAACAATAGAAAAGTCTATAATGTGATGCACTGCCCAGATCAACCAACCACTGGAGATCAAAAGGGCAGCATTTGCACAGGGACAAGGTTCAGAATGCAGAAAGAGACAGGAAAGAAGGACAAATGGAAAAGAGAAACGTGAGGAAGTAGGAAGAGTACTGTTACATTGTGGGAATTGTAATTTATGGCACAAAACAAAATGTGTATGTATTGTTGAATGGAAAACCGATTTGTTCTGTAAACTTTCACTCCAATCACAATAAAAAGTTTTAAAAACATGTTTAAAAAAAAAAAATCTGCCATTGAAAACCCAATGGGGAACAGTACTACTATGGTACATATAAGCTCATCTGAAGGCAGAGCTGAGTGGACAGCAAGGGGTTTTTTTCATGATGTTACAGTGGTCTTAAAAGAACACAGAAAGCAATGGAAAAAATTGACAAGTCTTCCTACTAAAATTAAAAATTTCTATTTATCAAAAAGATACCAGTAAGAGTGAAAAGGTATGCCACAAAGTGGGAGAAAATATTTACACTATGTATAAGCACACAACGGGCTAGCCTCCAGAAGTCCTATAAATCAAAGGAAAACACAGACAACAATATCTGAACAGGTACTTCACAAAGGAGGAGATCCAAGCAGCCAAACCTATGAAGAAGTACTCAGCTTCACTGATTAGCAGGGAAATAAAAAAATTACCAAAAAGATACTGCTAAGCACTCATTAGATGGGCAAAAAGAAAAAGCTAACAATACTGAGTGCTAGGGCAGAGGCGGAGCACAGCAACTGCTATACACTGCTGGTGGGAATGTAAGTGACATCAGAATTCTGTACCAACACGTTCACACAGCAGCACTGTAAATATGCGCAAACCAGAGACAACTCAAATATCTATCCCTGGTACAACTTATAAACAAACTCTGGCAATGTTCTTACAATGGAATGCTATATAGCAATGAAAATGAACAATGTGTAAAAAGATGGGTGAATCTTACAAACATCACGCTGAACGAAAGAAGTCATTCACCACAGGGTATCTACTGTATGGTTCTATTTATCTGAAGTTCGAAACGTCAAAATTAAACATTTTTATGGATGTGTAATTAGGTAGTACAGACATTAGTGGTATACTTGATACCACTAAGTAAGAGAATTATGATCAAGAAAAAAGAAGCAGAGTAGTTCTAAAGTGCTAATATGTTCCATTTCTTAATGAGCATTGTGATTACAGAGGTGTGTTTTACAATTTGTTAAGTTTCATATTCATGTTTTATATGCTTTTTGTATGTTTGTTACATTTTGCAATAATACACAATGTGCTTACATGGAAATATGTGCATTGCATACTGCTAAGTAAAAAAAAAAAGCAAACTACAAGGGGAGAGGAAGGGTTTACATTTTCTTATCTTATACATTTCTGTACTGTTTAAATTTTTATAGTGCATATTTATTGCTTTTATATGCCTTAAAAAGCAACGATGAACTCAATGTGGGTATTATATGAAATATATTTATTAGTCATGTTACCTATGGTCAAGGCAGAACCAATTAACATTTTAGAGCAACTGCTTTTCTTATTTAGTACTTGAAAGTGTATTTTTAAAATGCAGTGATTAGCTCTGAACATCATTTAGCTTGCATGGGATTTTCAGAAATACACACACACACACACACACACACACATATACATACATGCATATCTGGAGAGAAATGTTTTTAAGTTCTGAAACTCACCAACCAGTTGCACTCTCCCTGAAGACAAAAGCAATGGATCATCCTTTCTGACGTTATTTATTGAGTCATCTACTAATTCCTTAATGTGATCAATTCCTATGACTTTTCCAGTAGATCCAACCTAGAAAAGACAGAAGAATTCAATAACTCATTGGGTTAAATCTGTTTTTTAAAGCATAATTAAAGTATTTGTCTAAAGTCATATTCTGCAATGAGAAATCAAGGTAAACGAACTGCTTAAGTCAGACAGACTCTTCATTAGGTAAGTCAGAGTGGTGTAGTAAATTACATGGTATGGCTTTTCTAGCCATAGTCTTTGTAACTCCCTCTTTGCCATAAGCAACTGAGTAGCTAGCTGCTTGTTAAAGTCATCCTCCCGAGGCAGCACGAAATAATCTTCTGGGAAAGTTTATTCTGTCTCAAGTGTGTAGAACTCTGATGTTGGGATTGGTTGGTTTTGGCCACTCTCCCAGGCTCAAAATGAGCCCTCCTAGAGGCAGAAGAAATCTGACTGCCGGCCGAGAGAGACGTGTGGCTGAGAGAAACACACCACTGAGAGACATGAGAGATACATACTGCTGAGAGAGAGACATGTTACTGAGAGAGAGTGAACAAGATGGCCGGCTGGCTGGGAGACTGAGCCCATTCCAGAACTTGAATTGTAGCCTGTTGCCTCCCTACAAACCCCATAATCTATGTGTTCTGTGTGGCCACTGCAGCTAATTACTGAACCCAGCAGAGAGGTGGTGGGTGCCACGGGAGGGACAGTTGGTGTCAAGATCAGTAAGAGGGCTGGAGTATGATGGCATGTCTGGCCTCATAAGAACAGGCTTGGGCTGCTGATGGTGATTCTGTCTTCCTCTTGTGTAGTTACAGGAGGTCAGAAGATGCTGCTTCCTTGACCTTTGGCAGTCAGATAAATTCCCTTTAACTCTGCTAACTGGGGTTAAGTGTTCTGTCATTTGTAACCGGAAAAAAAGAAAAAAAAAGTCACAGGTGATACATATTCCAATTGCTAGCTTAAAAGAGCTAAAAAAAAAAAAAAAAACCTGCTAGTGAAAAAATGAGCCAAATCATATACTTCTGTTGGGGCTCTAGAATGAAAAATAAAGTTCTTACCATGCGTGCAAAACATGCAGTAAGGATTCCACTTCCAGATCCTACGTCAAGAGCTTTAGCTCCTTCATGCAACTGATCAAACAGAAGCTCTAGTGCATACGCATGCTGTGGAAAGAAAACAACACAAATGTTTGTCTTCTAAAGAATGTACAGTACATTCAGTCTCTAAAGCATATACGCCCTGGCATATAAACAGTTACCAACTTTCAACCAACTGTTCTACTATCCTCATCCACCAAGACAGTGAAAAGATATCTATATAAGAACTACCTTAGAAAAATTCTCGCTGTTTGATTAAAATTCTTACATTTGGATAGAATGATTCTGAAATTTCAGGTATTCAGCATGTGAATTTTAAATTTTTATTTAATTCAGATTCAAAAACTACCAATGGATTTACAGTGAAAAGTTGCCTCCCTAAAAACCCCATAATCTATGAGTTCTTTGTGGCCACTTCACACAGAACTTTATACCACCCCTGTCTCGACCATCCAGTTTCACTCTCTGAAGTCAACCAAATTAAAATTTCCTATGATTCCTTCAGAAATATTCATTCTATACACATATAAGCAAATACATGCATTTTTTCATTTATTATATCCTGAAGTACTTTTCATATTCATATCATGACTTAAACAGCTTGTTTATTCTGTTTTATGGTTGAGTACCTTCCTTTATGTATGTCTTATAATTACAAATATCCCTAATAAGAAATATTTAAGTTAGTTGTAATCTTCAACAGGAAGTGATGAAATAAATAATTCATAAATTATTATTTATGAAATAAATAATAAATATGGAAAGTATATCTATAGGATAAATTCCTAAAGTGAAATTGAGGGGAGTCAAAAAAGACACACACAATTTTATTTTTATAGTGTATATATAACTACTTCAAAAATCATATTGGTTATACTTCATATCAAACTAAGAAATAAAACCTTGGCTACTCCACCCTCTTTATAAAGTTACATTTAAGTGTTTTTCTAAAATACAAACTTGGAACTGAAAAAAAGAAAAACAAATCTCAAAAGTTGTCCTTAAAACTTGGCATTTTCATTATTAAAAATCATCAGAACTGACAGCTCTGAAAGGGATCACAGTAAGAGATCCAGGATAGAGTGGGGGAAAATGTGAAACAAAACTCAAAATCATAAAAATGGCTAGGCTTACTGGTCTGATGAAGAGTGGTGGAACCCCCAACACTATGGCCCTCAGACACCCTTCAAGCTAAGAACTGAACTTAACCCATGACTCAACTGGAAGCCAAACAATGGACAGGTCTGTCAGGTGAAAGCAGTGTCAGGAGGGGACACACTCAGAACATCAGCATATGAGCTCACAAGGACAGCATCTACCCTGCAAGGAGGGCAGGAGCAAACAAAGGGAAGGGGAGGGCGCAGGGAGGACATGGGAAGAGTGCTATTACAGTGTGGGGACTGCAGTCAATGTCACAAAACCAAATCTGCATGGATTGGTGAATGAACAACCAATTTGCTGTGTAAACTTTCACCCAAATCACAATTTATAAAAATAAAAATTGTCACAGCCAATTTGATATAACATTTCAAAGCTTATTAGTGGTCACAGGAGGTGGGGTGGGGGGAGTCCCTGCCTAGGGGCCCTGAGCATCTATTAATGATGGTGGAAAAATGCCAAAAAGGATAGTGGTGCTGGCCATACAGCATGATGAGCGTAATCAACATCACAGAATTAGATGTGTGAAAATTGTTGACTTGGTGACTACTTTGTTATATATGTATTTATTTATCACAATTAAAAAAAAAAAGTCAGATCCAGTTGCAATAAACACATAAGTATATACATATGTACATCTATGATTCTAAACACACACTTTTATACATACATAAATGGAGAATAAGGGGAAATTATTCCTGACAGTAGAATCCCAGCTAATAGAGAAAAAATGACGAACTTAGGAAACTGTCATTTGCTAACCACCTTAGTAACAACTAATTCAGGCAAAAAATCATAAACGGAAGCTAAAACCAGGATTTACATTTGTCAAGTAACAGGATAGCTACATAATTTCAAAGTAGTCACACAAGGTAGTTATTAATTACAAGAAGAAAAATACTAACTTTACAGTCCCATAAACTCATGCCATCCAGCCAACTCTGACTCATAATAACCCTACAGGATAAAGTAGAACTGCCCTGTAAGGTTTCCAAATCTGTAAATCTTTGTGGAAACAAGCTGCCACATCTGTCTCCTACAGAGTATGGCTACTTGGTTCAAAACTCCAACCTTTCCATTAGTGGCTAAGCGCTTTAACCAGAGTTTCTCTGTGGAAACCTTGTAGATACTACTTCAATCAGCAATAACAAGGCACCCTGATATCACATGTCTCTGCTAAGATGCATCACTTCTGGGTTGCTGCTGCCAAAATACCTAACCTGTATCTAATCAAGGGTAAACAGGCACCACAGTAGTGGTGAGGAAATAGCAGACAAACCCAAATTGACGGACATTCCATAAAAAATACTGGCCCACATTTATCAAATTTTTCAAGGCCATAAAAGATAAGGAGAGCCTGAAAAACTGTTTTAGATTAAAGAAGATGAGAGGATTAAAAAGTAGTAATTAAATGAAACTCATGATCATTAGAACAACTGAGGGAATCTAAATAAGGTGTGTAAACTGGCTAAAAGTCCTTGATCAATGTTAATTTCCTGATCTTGATAACTGTACTGTGGTCATGTAGGAGAATACTCTTATTTTTACGTAAAGAGCATTATGCCTGTAATTTAAAGAGTTCAGGAAAAAATAGAAAGGAGAGACAACTGGGTAGATAAAACAAGATTAGTAAATTGTAGGGAATTACTGAAGCTGAATGATGGCTACTACTACCAATCGCTTTGAAAGGGATCACATTTGACGGTCCTGGATAGAATGAGAGAAAAATGTGGAACAAAACTCAAAATCAAAAAAAGACCAGGCTTACTGGTTGTATACAGACTGGTAGAACTCCCAAGACTATGGCCTTTAGTCACCCTGCAAAACTGAAGGCATTAAGTCCCCAATGCTCAACTCTCAGCCAAACACTAGCCAGGTCTACAAAGTGATCAGTAACACTAGGGAGGTGTGCATTCCTTAGAACAATCAACCATTTGAGATCAAAAGGGAAGCATCTGCCCAAGATCAAAGTTCAGAAAGCAGGAAGTATTAGAAAAGCATGCCATAAACTGGGGACCTTCCTCAAAGTTGCTTCTCATATACTGGAAGCAGCCCATGTCCCTAAAGCAGCTACTCAGCTGCTCCAGTAGATTCCACCATGGAATTAATTACCAATCCCATCATGGGGAATAACTACATCCAGCTGCCCAGCCACTCAACCAGGCCCAGCCAAGTTGACAACAATCTAAACTACCACAAAGCTTTGTCCACTACAGCTAGCATTTTTTTGGATCACTCATGCTCATCTCTTTCTAAGTCTAAACATAAAGCTTTAAAGTATTTAATAATTATGAAATTTTTAAACTCACAGAAAAATTGAAAGAATTTTCCTCCTCACATAGTCACCAATTGTTTGCATTGTGCCATACTATTTTACCAAACCATCTGAAAACAGGCTGTAGATACCATGAAAGTTCATTCCTAAGTACTTCAGCATACATTTGCCAAAAGCTAGGACAGCCTTCCTGACCACTGCACCATCATTGGTACACACAAGAAAATCATCAATTCAGTATCACCCAACATACATTCCATATTCAAATTCCCTCAACAGTCCCCAAAATGGCTTTTACAGTTATCCCCTTTCCCCTAATCCGTCCAAGGTTCATGCATTGCATTTTGCTATCAGGTATCTTTTATCTCCCCAATCTAGAACAGATCTCTACTTAATCCTTATCTACCTACAACTTTACTCTGTTCTTCAGAACAATGACCCCTTTGAAGAGTGTCCTCTTATATAATGCCCCACATTCCAGATTTATCTATTTCCTTGGGGTTAGATTCAGATCAAAGACTTCCAGTAAGAACCCCACACAGGTAGGTCACACTGTGCACCTCACTGAATCAGATCAGGAAGCACACAATGTGAAGACACCTCACTACTGGACATGCCAAGCTCAACTGCTCAGTAAATGTGTTGGCCACGAGAGCACACTATTTTAAAGGTGTGTTTTTCTCTTTACCATAGATGAGATAAAGCCAGAATGCTTCTTGGAGATTTTGGCTCACTTCCTCCAGACATCATCAGGAAAGACCATCTGCTAGAAAAGATCATGTTTGGTAAAGTAGAGGGTCAACGAAAACAAGGGCGACCCTCAGTGAGAGGGATGAACGCAGCATCCACAGCAATGGACACACATGTAGCAACGATCCTGAAGACGGTACAGGACCGAGCAACGTTTTGTTCTGTTAACAAAAGGTCACTGAGTCAGAACTGACTCAATGACAACTACCAGCCAATGCAGAGTAATCATTTGAGACTACATGAAGATTCTGTTGCCCAACAATCTTAATGGTTTTAGACTCACTGATGATCCTTATCTAATTCAATGATTACACTAAGGATCACAAAATAGTGATTTAAAAAAATCTTCTATTCCTTCTGTATTTAACTCACATTCTTCTGATATTCTTTCAAAAAGATTATGTGTTTTCTCTGCATTCTCCCACTTTTTTTTTTTTAAATAACAATGGACTCATGGATTTGTGTCTTTCAATTCACTGTTTTATTGTTATTGTTAGGTGCCAAAGAGTCAGCTTCCACTCCTAGCAACCCCACGCGCAACAGAACCAAACACTGCACGGTCCTGTTCCACCCTCACATTCACTGCTATGTTTGACCCCACCGTTATGGCCATCGTGTCCAGCATTTCACCAAGGAGCTTCTTTTCTTTTTGCTGACCTTCCACTTTACCAAGCATGATGTCTTTTACCAGGGACTGGTCCCTCTTGATAATATGGCCACAGTACATGAGATGATTATTCAAGGATGTTTGCAGCTGTTTCCTCTCATTTTGAGTCATGCCACATCAGCAAATGAAGGTCCCGAAATCTTTACTCCATCCGTGTCATTAAGGTCAACTTACTTTGAGGAGGCAGCTCTTCTCCAGTCACTATTTGAGTGCCTTCCAACCTGGTTCTATACACCTTGTTAAAAGTAAGATGTTCACTACTAATTTATAATTCATAGATGATAAAATTGATCCAATTGAAAGTTTAAAACTTTCTTTAAACCTTATTTACTAAAGGAAAAAAAAAAAGATCCTAGAGGACAATGTGATCCATTTGTCACTAAATGAACAGTTAACTTACCATGTGTGGGGCACTGATTGTTGCTTGGAAACCTGGAAAACAAGAAGACAGCTACTGATCCATTCAGCTATGAAAACAAACATACTAAATATTCCACACAATTCCTTCACAATATCCATGAATTGCTTTCCATGATACCTTTTTGGTATTATAACCTCAGGAAGATGAACCTTTTATTTTGTACTTGGTATGTACTTGTATGTACAGCCATACAGCAGTTAAAGTTAGGAAATGCAGGCATGCCAAAGGCCCATGTGCTTATCTTCCAGTGAACCCACTATTTCTAAAACTTTCTTCTCCTGTGTAGGAAGAAATGCAGTAAGTTGAGAATTGGTAGGTTTTTTACTTTTTTCTTCATATTTATGAAAAGAAAATATGTTTCCATGAATAATGAGTTTATTCTTATGGTTGGCAAAATTAAATCGCTTCATATGTCCGGCAACTTTAAAAAAACTGGAATAACAGGTAATCAGACTAGTTTAAGAGGCAGAGAAATGACTTCACTTTAGTCTTTATACTCTTATCTCGTATTGAGTCACCCAGTCTTTTCTCAGCTTCTAGCCTTCAGTTTCTTTCCTCCAGTACAGCTTGCTCAAATCTGATTTACCTGCTTCGGCCTCTGAAGCAATTTTCACTGAGCGGTGGTAGCAGGTGCCTTCGGGGTTCAGAAGCCCCCTAGGATCTTCTCTGCTGACTGTGCTTCAAAAGAAGATAGAATGGCAGCTGGCCCACAGAATCCTGAGGCAGTTCTAAGCCTCAAAGGCGCCCACTGCCAAGGCTCAGCAGTTCAGCAAAACCTGCTTCAGGAGAAGGAGTTAAATAAGGAACTTTCTAAAAACAAACACAAGCAAAAAAAATCAGGGCGAGTGAAGCAGAAAGTCAGTAATACCTTAATTACACTTACTTCCTTTAAATACTAACACAAAAAAGAGACGCCCTGGTGGCATAGTGGTTAAAACATTCAGCTGCTAAGTAAAAGGTCCATGGTTTGAACCCACCAGCTGTTCTGCAGGAGAAAGATAAAGTATTCTGTTCTATAAAGATTTCAGCCTTAGTATGTCTATGAAGCAGGTAGAGTACCCAAGACCATGTATAGGGTTGGCAGACAGTGGTCCTAT